ACACACACACACACACACACACAAAATGATTTGCTTCAAACTTGTTAGTAGTAACATGGCAATTGTTATAATAAAATTGAACTTCTGGCTTTGTTGAACCAGGTATGATCTCAGGTTCTTGACTCCTAAGCCACAGCTGAAGGCTCCTTTTCAGTCATCCTTCAGAGGCTTCTCTGCTAAGCTTGCCCTCTCCCACACTTCTTTCCTGACTGTGACTTTGCTCTCACAGCCCCAGTACTCTGCCTTAAATTTTCATTCATTTAACTGCTCACCATAACCCAGGCAAAAAAAAAAAAATTAAGAGGTGACATCCCTTGTATAAAAAGCCAAAAGTCTAGCCAGGCATTGAGGCAGACACCTATAGTCCCAGCTACGTGGGAGATTAAGGCAAAAAAATCACTTAAGCCCAAGCATTTGAGGTTGCTGTGAGCTGTGACACCACAGCACTCTACCAAAGGTGACATAATGAGACTGTGTCAAAAAAGAAAAAAAAAGCCAAAAGTCCTTGGGCCATAAACCACAAATTAATTTATATCTCCATCTTTCTCCAAATTAAGAAAAGTTCATACAGATTTCTCAAAAATTTTTGAATTGAAAAAGACTCTACTTCAGGAAAAGCATTTCTCTGACTTCAATCATACAATCCAAATCAGGGAATAAACAAGATCTTAGAGGCGATCTAATACAACACCCATGACATCGGTGACCCCAAAATACCAGATAGCAAAAGGGTGTGAGAATCACTACTTAAAAACCACCTAGGGAATTTAATAAAAATGTAGGTTTCTGAGCACTACTCCTAATGCTCAAGTATCTCTTATTTATTTTCTGAACACCACTGACTAATGCTTAAGTATTTCTTATTTATTTTAAAGTTCTGTAGGTAACGGGTTGGGTACGGTAGCCTTTGCCTGTAATCCTAGCACTCTGCGAGGCCAAGGATGGTGGATTGCTTGAGCTCAGGAGTTCTAGACCAGCCTGAGCAAGACTGAGACCCCATCTCTACTAAAAATAGAAAAACTAGCCAGGCATTGTGGTGGGTGTCTATAGTCCCAGCTACTTAGGAGACTGAGGCAAGGGGGTTATTTGAGCCCAAGAGTCTGAGGTTGCTGTGAGCTATGATTCCACAGCTCTCTACCCAGGGCAACAAAGCAGACACTGTCTCAAAATTTAAAATAATAATAATTAAAAGTTCTGTAGGAAACTCAGAAGTCAAGTAAGGAACCCTTTGATCTAACCTGGGTCAGTCAGCTGTTACTCCATAACAGACAACCGTCAGATTTCAGCAGCATGCCACAACAAGCATTCCAGGGGTTGGCTGATCTAGGCCTGGCTAGATAGGTCTACTAGAAGGCAGGTCCAGCTGGGCTTGACGCCCGTGTGTAGGCCAAGCTCTGGTTCACACTACCAGTATTCACTGGCTAAAAGGACACCAGCTACCCAGGAGGAACTCTTGTGACAGAGATGGCAGTGGTGAAAGGGGGCATGCCCAACCATGCTAGCATTTTCCACACTTCTGCTTGTACATCCCACTGGCTAAAACCAGTTGCATATCTGAGCCCAAAGACAAGGGGTAGGAGAGTATATTCTTCTTAAGGAGGTGAAGGGATGGTGGATAGAGAGTAAATATTTTTGAACAAAAATGTATCAGAGAACCCATACTTGAACACTGTTAGTTGTGCTTTATCAGAATGTTTTCAGTTCCAAGTAACAGAAAACCCAATCTAATGTAAACAAAAAGATATTTATTGTCTCATGTTTTAAAATAAAAATGCCAAAGGTTAATGCCCTCTCCTGTGAGTTGCTTTCTTTTTTTTTTTTTGAGACAGGAGCCTCAAGCTGTCCCCCTGGGTAGAGTGCCGTGGCATCTCAGCTCACAGCAACCTCCAACTCCTGGGCTCAAGCAAGTCTCCTGCCTCAGCTTCCCAAGTAGCTGGGACTACAGGCACCCACCACAACGCCCGGCTATTTTTTGGTTGCAGCCATCATTGTTGTTTGGCGGGCCCGGGCTGGATTTGAACCCGCCACCTTGGGTGTACATGGCTGGCACCTTAGCCACTTGAGCCACAGGTGTCAAGCCCTGTGAGTTGCTTTCTGTCCTCAATAAAGCTTTGCTCATGGAAAACATCACATTCCTTTGGGAAACCCTTATGAGCATTTACTGCATGCTAGGGACTATAATGGCCTCTGGGGACAAGAAATAATTCTGCTTTACTGTGTGGAAAGGGAGAAGATACCTGAAAATTAGCAATTGCAACTCAGTGTGTGATAAATGGAGCAAGGATAGGGTAGGAGTAAATGGAACACCCCATTTCATACTCGCAGTCTCACCCAAATCCTAACTTCTCTGGGCCTCCTGTTAGAAGATCTAGCTGCATAATGAAGTCTTGATAAATAGTAATGAGACATTTTGGGGCTGACAAATTGGCGCCACAGGAGTCACAGTGCTTGACCCAGAAACAGGAAAGGGGTGATTTATGATGCAGCTTTGGCACAAACTGACCTCTC